CTTCTTCACTGAAAGGGCTGTCAGGCCCTGGCCCAGGCTGCCCGGGGCAGGGGCTGAGTCCCCATCCCTGGGGGTATTTAAAAGCTGGGGAGATGTGGTGCTCGAGGACATGGGTTAGTGGTGGGCTGGGCAGTGCTGGGGTAACGGCTGGACTTGATCTTAAAGGTCTTTTCCAACCAAAACGATTCTATGATTCTAAATAGCGGTTGCAAATGTTTTAGTCTGAAGTTAGTTTGGCTGCTTATTTAACAGAAATAATGAGTTAACTGTTGCATTCTTTTTATGCTTTATATTAAGACTTAATTTTTGAGTTTTTTTAAATTATTATTATTTTTGGAATGTTTTCTATCTTGAACCTGACACAGGGAGAGGCAGGAACCTGCCTTGGATCAGCCATGAGATACTGCTCTAGGAGAGGATGTGAAGAGGGTGTTGCTCTTGGCACTATTTCAAGATTTGTAGTTATCCTTAACAAAAACCGGTCTGTTGTAATATAAGCCCTGTCCTGTAAATGTATTGGGGCTTAGGCTGAATATAAATGAATCTCTTACTGGTAATAAGTTGGTCTGTCTTAAGACTTCTTCATGTTTGGCATGACGTGTTCTGTAGAAGTGGCTTTCGTTGTGTTTCATGCTGTATCTTTGTCTGATTTTTATGGCATGAAGAGGCCGTAGCTTTTTATGGATGCACCTTTTGGACATATGTGTGGGGTCAGCATTTACTTTGACAATGAGACAAAACATTTGGCTGCTTTGAAGATTGCTGTTGCTTTTTCTTGATTAACGAACCTCGTGTCAGGTTCCTGCTGGCAACCAAGAGAGTCGCTTGTGGCATTCGGGGTCTGTGCACAGCGAGCGGGGTTAAAAACTGCTGAAAGGGACGCTGGAAATTGGTTGCTGGTGGGGAGGTAAAAAGGTAGAGTGTGGCAAAGGCAGAGATCTCTGAATGCCTGAATTATCTTCTGCTTTCTTGTTTGTATAACGTATTTCAAATGTGTCTTAGCTGTGGCTTTACGACATTGGAACGTACTTAGGGGAAATGGTGTTCCTGAATATGGTGGCAGCACTTGAACATTATGGCTCTGTACCAAAATGTTACTTTTCATGGATAAATATGTTGTTATTCCTGGACTGAAGAATCACAACTCTTTCAATTTTTTTTGTAGATTATAGCATTTGATGAACTGAAGACCGATTACAAGAATCCCATAGACCAATGTAACACACTCAATCCTGTAAGTTGCATGCTAAACATTTTTTTTTTTTTAAATGTATGTAAAATGATTGGTTTTAATGCTATCTTGATATACTCAAACTAGGCAATAGAATTGCATCTGAGTGGACAAAACCTAGCTGTTCGATAGAAGTTCTAGGGAAAATTCTTTGTCTGATTCTTTACTTTCAACTTGAATATTCTGACTGTTATTCATCTGCTGGTGATCTTATCAGCTGTCGTACTAACATTCTTTCAATCTGCTTTCTACATTTTCGGCACAAAGACAGTTGAAAAGGTCAAAAAGATTAAAAGAGTCAAAATTGCATTAAAGGTGTGTACTGCTTTTCAGTTTAATGTTTTTAATGCCACTTTCATTTTGTTAGGAACATTTGTAATACCCTTAAGCTGTTTTGTTTAGTGTGCCTGTTCATCTGCTCGTTATTTGTTTGTTGGGGTTGACAACAACTTCATGGATTTCCATGTTTTGTGCAAAACAATTTTGCTTGCTTACCCAGTGAAGCGGGGAAAACTGTTACATGCCTGTTATAGATGTCCTATCGATGAGCTGAAGTTAACTTCAGATAGAAATAAATAGTACTTTTCAAGCAAGATTTATTGCACTCTGAGATTATAGGAGACTAGTTGGTTTTTAAGCATTGACCAAGTAAATTCTGATCTTGTTTGAGGATTTAGGTGGGCGTAACGTGATAGGCATTATCTTCACTTCTTTGTTTTATGTTCCAGGATCAGGGGTGTATCTTGGTGTCCTCTTGGATGCAACTCTGACACTCCTTGGTTTGTGAAGAGACTTTGAGACAAACTATTTGCTTGCATCTGTAACAGGCCAATAATAAAAGGGATACTCGTTAAAGAGCATATAGTTTGATACAGCAGTTTTTTTGTGTATTTCTCACGGTTTTTACTTTGGCTTGGTGTGCCCAGGCTGAGGTAGAATGTAGGGGCAGCACAGCAGTGTGGCCTGGACTGTCACTTTATGGTGTTTTGAAGAGTTAAGCAAATTATGCAAATGAAAACTGAATTTACAGTAGCTGGGGAGGGAAACGCATGTTAGACATATGGCACATACATTGACAGCGAGCGTTACAGCATGAGAGCGGGTGGGGAGGAGAAGAGGTGATAGGCAGAGGATTGCATCTTGGAGAGTGAGGTTTGACGCTCGGATAGCTGTGCATCTAACAGTTTCCCTTGCTCGGTCTGTTTTACAGTCATTTCTGCTACAGTATGGGGGAAGGCAAATTCTCATTACATTTATGCATTATGATCTTATCGCAACCTTTGGAATATTACAATGCGCATGTTTAATGCAAATATTAACCTTCTGTTAACCCACATGCATGTAGTGTTTATTGATATGATAGCTTTGTGAATTGAAAATATTAAATAACGTAATATTTGCTGTTCTTGTGAAAGTAGATTGGCCACTAAAAGTGAAGTTAAGACTCTTGAAGGGATCTGGTAAATGATGCTGGACAAACACACTGAAGTGTTTCCCTGTACAAAGAATCAAAAATCCTGGTAGGAATTGAGACACCTCAGTAGAAAGATTAGCCCAAAATAGTAACTGCTTAGTACACTGTTGATGCCTTCTCTTCCCTGCTCCTATTATAGTAGTATCTCTTCTCAGCAATGACATTTCCTCCCTCGCTTCTGTGATAAATATCATGGCAGAATATGATGTAGTTAATTTTCTTTTAGGACAACCAGGGAGGATAAAATGTGGTCGATTTGAGAGAGACAGGTATTCTGGCGTGGGAGTAGGGTCTAATAAACAAGATGAAGAAAAATGTGTTTTGAGATGTGTAGTTAAATAAACTACAGATTTTCAGACCTGGTAAATCTGTCTCAGCAGGCTGCCAAATGCATTGTGTTTTGGGTAGGGTGGTTGTTCTACTATAAATAAATAATTGCCAAATTGTAAATGGTAAGTATACAAAGAAGGATCTGGACAAAAATATTTACTTGAAACATTTAATGTATGACAGCTTATTTTTGTTGATGTTGATGCAAGTTTGCTTCGTTTGATATTCTTCATTTAGAGAAGCAGAATGTTGTAGCAAAGTAGGTGGTGAGAATGTCTGCTCGTTGGTAGGTTTTAGATTTCTAGGAAGATATTCTTGGGGTTTAAAAGAAGTGTCCGCTTGGAGACAATGAAAAAATTATAAAACACCGAAACTTCAGCGTAGTCATTCAATGCAACCTTAGTCTTATTACACAAAAAAGAGGGGCAAAGTGTGTTGTGTGTATATGTATACGCGTGCGCAGACACGTGCACGTATACATTGACAATTTAAATCTTTAGGTATTTTTCATGAGGAGATAGTTTAGTGGTCCTGAGCTGAGAAGTGAAAAGCGTATACAGATTTGCTGCTTTCTGAATTGTGTGATAAAGGAGTAAATGATATCACTTTGGGGTGACTTGTTTTACAAAATTTTACTCTTGTGGTGGGTGTGAGATTTTGCTGGCTCTTTGCATGCGTTTAATCTATGTATCTCTCCATATTATTCCTATTAATAACACTAATACTAGCTGGCATTTCACGCTTTCTGTGATTTCATAGTAAACTGATAATTAGCTCTGCGGGCTTCTGCTGGAAAGCATGATGCTATAAAGCATGCATATTAGGTACTTGTGAAGGAGAGCGAAGCTGGCTAACACGCCCCAACCTGTACGTGCGTAGCTGCTGTCGTGCCCTCCTGCGCTGCGGGCAGCACAGCGCTCGTCTCTGTGCAGGCCCCTGTGCGTAACAACGTCGCTGCTGATCTGGTTTGGTAAAGCTTTGCCTAGGACGTTACATTTTGGCAATAGTCGGAATTTGAAAAAATTACGTATGTGTGAATACCAAAACAAAGCTGTAAAACAGGAAAACACAAAACATCTTTTTGCATATAAACCGTGACATGGAGCATGTTTCCTACTGATATTTCTCTGTTGCATGAGCAGAAATATCTCGATGATCTCTTCTGTTATGAAGGTCACGTATAAAGCGTGGAATCTCTATTTTTTTATTGCTTCTATTAAATTATTGATCTGAGCATTTGATTTTATAAATTTTTCTTCTTGGTTCATGAATATCATGTGAAAACAGCAAGGTGCGTACTGCTGGTTGCTGTTTTCACTTTCTGCAGTCCTGTTCTTGTTAGTGTTGTTTTTTAATTTTTTTTTAAACAATAGCTTACCTCCAAAATAGATTAAACACCACACACTTTGCTTTGAGTAATCGAAACTTCTAACTCGTATTTTTCTTTTCCAGCTTGTACTTCCAGAGTACCTCATCCATGCATTCTTCTGTGTTATGTTTCTCTGTGCAGCAGAGTGGCTTACACTGGGTCTCAATATGCCTTTGTTGGCTTACCATATTTGGAGGTAATATTGCCGAGTCTGGTATCTCTGTAATCCCGTTAATTGTTACTCATTCTCCCGGTGCGGTGCTTCCTGTTAATTGTTCCCTGTCTTTGGCAAATGAAGATGCTTTCTGATATGACATTGAGAAAGTTTATGTCACAGCTATAAACTAAGAACCATCGCTTTGCTTTCTGTGGCACTTGTATGTGTTGTGCTATGCAAGAATCGAGTTGTGTGTGTTAAAGGTAGCTGGCACGTCAAAGGTGTGCTAATACCGCGGATCCACAGCGCGGCTCGCCAGTAGAAGCGGCCACCCCGCTTTCCTCCTCCCGCTAAGACCTGGGCACCACCTCTCCTTGTGCTGGTGTTAGTCCCGTGCAGGGAGCTGGTCTGGTCGAAATGTAACCCAGCAAAATGGCTTTCGCTGCCTGGCTGGATCTGTGCTAGTCCTGGCGTGAGGAGGAATCGGAGGGGTGGGGGTAGGACTGTTCCTTTTGCCAGTCGCCTGTGTTCAGCTACGATTTCAGGATCGTTTTGTGTTGACCCGTATGCGTGTTCCTTCGGCATGGTAGCCAGCATGCGTGGTATTAACGAGTAGAGGCTGTAGGTCAGATAGGGTTATACGTTGGTCTCTTCTCCAGCTTTTCCAACCCTCTCAGGAATCCCATTTTTCACTTATTTATAAATTTGTCCTATTTCCTTTTGGTGTACCAGAGTTCAGCGGGGTTTAAGGCTGAGGTGTGCTGTCACAGCACCGTTTGTGAAAGCCCTTCCATAGGCACGTTTGGGTTGGAGCTTCGTATTGCGCTTGCAGTTCGCCATCTCCTGCATGGAGCTGATGGACTTTGCTGTAAGGGGTGCGATTCCTTGTCTCGGTTGCAGTGTTACTTGGCGGGTGGGGGGCAGGAACCAGTGTTGCCCATCGCCCTCACCACAAAACTAACTGTGCATCGCTTTCAGGTACATGAGTAGACCTGTGATGAGTGGCCCTGGTCTGTATGATCCTACAACCATCATGAACGCAGATATTTTAGCCTATTGCCAGAAAGAAGGATGGTGCAAATTAGCATTCTACCTTCTATCATTTTTTTACTACCTATACGGGTAAGTGGTTTTTTTTTTTCTGTCTCCCATCTAATCGTCAGTCTGAATTTTTTTTGATTGGGCTCAGTGCACAGGAGAAATTTTGTACATAGGAATATATATAGTGCCAACTTTCCTGAAAAAGAATCCACAGTCACCATTTACTCTGTTTTTAAAATGCAAGTCTTAGTTTGGTTGGAATTACTAACGTGAATGTGTATACCATGACTGGAGACTTGAAAACTCCGAGCTTTTCTTCTTTGAAGCATAATATAATACCCCCTCCCCAGTATTTTCATTAAGAAGCTGGAACAGTAATATTTTTAGTGTAAGCAGGTATTTTGATGTAAATGCGATTTTTTTTGTGGAAGTCAGAGGTAGAGGAGTCATTCCAAGAGTGAAAAGGGGTGGGATGTGCAAAAGCCAGCGCCACTGCCTGGTTCCTCCTCCCAATTCTCCCTTCAAGCCAAAAGCCACCTCTCTGCTTGGCGTTCGCCTTTGTTCCGGGTGGTGCGACACGGGAAGCGGGGTGCAGTCCTCCTTCCTCTCGGCACGCCGCGCATCTTACACCACAGCTGCAATAGTTCAGGCTTTTGGCACGTTAGGCGTTGATACAGGGCTCCCTGTTACCACGTCACTTGATGTAGTGACAACTGGTTGTTGCATCCATTCAGGTTGCGCTTTGCAATCCCCTTCTGATGTGTTTGTGACTGTGTAAGACCTTCAGTCGCAATCCACGTACCTCACACAGATTTGTTCCTTAGAATATGTGACTGTATAATGAAATGTGTAACGCTAATCAAAATGGTGCATCTTAATATTTTTATTTTTTATTTTCCAGCATGATTTATGTTCTGGTGAGCTCTTAAGAAGACGTTCGGCAAGCTTTGTTCCAGTTAAGTGCATGCAAAAGCCACAAAACATGGATTCTTTACAACGAGAACCTCTTACCAAGACTAAATACGGAATCTGATGATTGCATTTGCGTTAGAAAACAATGACTCCCCTATTTTTAAAATATTTCCACATTTTATACTTGTGGAAAGACTCTTTTCTTATATTTTACTGGGACACTGAAATTAAGGAATTGCAGGTAAATTAATATAAAGATTACTGGGTTTTGAGAAGTTTTGAGTTTGCACTCCATAAGGAACAGCCATAATCTTCAAGTAGGTATTGGTTACTGACTAGCCTTAGTACACTAGGGATTATCTTTAGGCCGGGCTTTGTAGTGGCTCATATGGACTTGCGTATCCCACTCTAACGATAAATCAGCTGTAGCTGCCGAGTGCTTGGGAAGGACCGGAGGTGCTGTGTGTTTTACCTGTGGGTGACGCTGGTCTTAAGAGATGAATTCATGGACACGGTTGCAAAAATAGGAGTTCTCTTTTGGTTTATTTTGTATTACTTTTTTTTTCTATTTGGTTAATCTCTTCCTGTATATGCATGGTTCCGACTTCTGTATTTTCACTGAAAGTTAGCCTTGCTATAATCTCAAGCATATGTCATTGTGATAGGAGAAGTTGAATTGTCCTCAAAGGGGTGAATTTAAATGATGATTTCTCTTTTTTTTTTTTTTTTTTAATGTCTGTGCTGTCTTATTAACAAATGGACAAATCTACAACATTTATCAAGTCCAATGATGAAAATACTCTTGAATTTAAGAGTAATACTACAGACCTTTTCAAAGCAGAAAGTGAGATTTGTGAAACTGCCCTGCTGTTCCTTAGTGCAATAAATAATAAAAAAAAAAAATCTCAAATTCAGAAACACTTATTTTTACCCAGTGCCTTGGTTTTGTTTTTATATTGAACAGATACTTGCTGTATTCATCCGTTTGCTTTACGATGGATAATTGCATTACCTTTTCAAAACAGAACACTGAACGAAGTTACGTCTGGAAAAGGGAAGCTCCCATTTCCTGCTTTATTTCATGGGTCTGCAGATAAATATAGTAGATGGGGCAGGGGGAAGGTGTTTAGGGAAACTGATGCTATTGCATTGTACATTGCTGCTGCAACTGCTGCTTAATTTAGGAGTAATAATTAGGAATCTTTTTCATTTACCTGTGCTGGAGAATAATGAATAGTTCCCAGTTCTAGTAAAACGTTTTTGTATAAACTGTGTATTTGTTCACTTTGGGTCTCTCGGGTGTTGGGTGCAGCGAAGGTGGTACGGGTGGCTGCCCTGGCTTCCACCAGAAGCCCGGATACTCCAGTCTTGGTGGGCTGGGCGGTGGCAACCACGGAGGAAAAAGAATATGAAACAGGGCAAGTGTTGAATATCTCTGCCTGAATAGCGAGAGGATGAATTTGGAAATCTGCCTCTTACAGATGTCCGGAGCTAGAGGTTTGGCATCTGAAACAGCCCCTGAATAGCTTTTCTACCATGAATTCAGTTGCTTTTTGAGCATGTTTGTAGCCTGGTGTGAAAGATACCCCGAGACAGTGAGTTCTGCAATGGAATTACTCAGTACGTAAAGAATACTTGTTTAAAAAAGTTCTGCCAAAGTTCATTTGGTGCCCCTAAGCTCTTATCTTTTAAGACGTATTGAAAATTTCCCCCTTTCCACCTTATTTAGGCTGGGCGTGATTGACTGAAGAGACCTTCATCATGTCATCTGCCAAAGCAGAGGAGTCTGTTTAATCTCTTCTTGATGGGAAGTCCCTCTGTAGCTTTGCGATTATCCTTTCTCCTCTGCAAATTTTCCTTTTCTAAGCTGAGGAGACCAGAACGACTGTCATCGCACGAGGTTTGGGTGCCCAGGGGAGTTAGAGCAAGCAGTTTCCTGCTCTCTGCTTCCGAATTCCTCTCCTCTTTTTCTGATGTGCTGGGGGCATGAGAATTCAGGCTGCGATAACTTCAGATTCTCTTTCCTAAGCACTAAGATACCTGACAGCTTATTACTAGGTGTATAAAATCATTTTTCTCACGTGTGTTTCTTCTTTGCATTTATTGACACTTCATTTCACATGCCATCATTGCTCAAGCATTCAGCTTTACAAAATTTATATCTTTTTTTTTTTTTTTTTTTTTCCTGACTGTCCCAAAACATTTGCAGCAGTTGCAGGCTTCACCTCACGGCCCTCGTTTTCTGCGCAAAGGCGCGGGTGCCAACCCGCGCACCACTGGAGCTCTGCGAGGAGCCACTCTCACCCAAAACTTTATTGCTATTTTATTGCTTTATTCCTATTCTGCAATCCCTTTCGATCGGTTGTTTGTTGACGAGAGGGTTTTCTTCCTTGTGCAATAATAATTTTGAGGTTTTAGCAAAAGAATTTTGGAAAGGCTTTTTGGAAACTCAGGAATACTGTTCCTGTTGGATCATTTTTATTTTCCTGCTCCTTCAGAGACTGCTGTGAGGTATGACCTCAGCCTGCCTAAGCAAAACTAATTATCTCTTTTGTATATTTATTAATTTGTTAGGGAAATGACAGCCCCTAGCTCTCCTTGGCCTTCTAAACAAATCTCTCCTTCCCGCGGTACTTGGGCTGATGTCCGCCAAGTTACACAGCAGAACACACGGTGCGGGATTTGCAGAGTGCAACCGCTGGCTGCTTCTGCACCCCTCCAGCTGCGGAGGGGAATTCCACCCCGGAATCGTGAGCAAAACGTTTGCCACGCGTGCGCTGTCCTGTGGGTGACGGGCTTTACGCATCTCACGCCAAAGTGCACGTGGATATTCCCAAAGGGAGGGATACCAGCTAGAGTACCGGTCGTTTTGTATTCAAAACGTGGGCCTGACGGGAATTGATTTCTGGAGTTTCAGGAGGCAAAAGATGGTGGAGAAAATAAAGCATTTCTCCGCCTGTCAGCAAGTTTCCTGCTAAGCCATCTTAAAAAGCCATCTGATCTGTACTTAATATCTGAAACCCACCAGTTGCAAGGATGAAGTACTGAAGAAGGGACGGGCGGACACTTTTTTTTGTATTTCTGTTTGAGTCCTGGGGAGCAGTGTCAGGGAAGGAGCAATGCACGTTTTGAGCAGAGTATTTTCTGTAAGTGATTCCACGCTCTGGAAGCTGGAAGAATTCCTGTTGCCTGCCTTAGGCGTGGGGAGGGGAAGGGCAGTAAAAGCTAATTAAATATAATCTGCAGAAATTGCCTTTAAACATGGGTTTAAGCGTCTGGTTCAAACAACATGTTAAGAGAAGGCTGTAAATTTTCAAGTTAGCAAAGTAATGAGTTCAACTCAAAGCTGCTGGCGCTGTGGTAGAGTCTCGTGTCACAACTACCGATGTGAAAAGTTACTGAAACTTCATCGACACGCACCAAGAACAGCTCTGTCCCTGTAGGCAGCGGGGAAGCGTGGGCCGCAGCGTTGGGAGCAGAGCACCCTGGGAACAGGACAGCAGCGCTGCCTCGGCGGTGCTGGTACCGGACGGGTAACCGGCCGCTTTCCTGAAGCACTCTGGGGGGGAAAAAGCACTTACAGAATGAACGGCAAGGAAAGAGGAGATGGTGACAGGGCAGGAGGACAGCCGGGAGGCTGACACTCGGCTGATGGCGACGGCAGCCCAGAGGCAACAGTTCGACTCTGTTGCTTTGTCTAACGGCGAAAGGCATGGCGTGGGCGACGCGCGCTTTCTTCCCAGAGCCAAAACTCGCCTCGCGGGGCGCTGGAGGACACCTGGGTGCTGGAGCGGATGATCATCGCTTCCTCAGAACAGGACAGAACGAGTTTAAACGTTTTCTTCAGGAGTTTGCTCACTTCTGCTCTCATGAGTGGATGTCGTTAAACAGGAGGGCTGTGGACTGTTACCGGCATCTCTCTGTGAGATGCTCTCCAGCCCACAGCTGATTGTTTATTTACTTTCTCTAGTGTTAGCAGGCAGAAGTGCTGTGCCAGAAACTCGCCCACGCAGCCACAGCAGTGCCTCTTCCTACCGCATTCATGTAACAACCCACGTGCTTGGTTTGCCACAGATCTTCAGTATAAAACCTCCTTCTGCTGGAATGAGGGGTCTCGCTCCTAACTATCACCGAGCACGCGAACAGCAGAACCGTGACATTTTAGAAATAAGGGGCGAGCACGCCAGCGGGAAGTGTTCGTGCTTGACTTCCCTTTGGTTTTTCTAATCAGCTCCAGTGATGTGATTTTGATCTAGCTACATTATCCCAGCAGGACTCTCTCACAAAGGCAGTAGAGGAGGAGTCGCCTCCTCTGAGGGAGTCAGAGAAGGATCGCCTCTCCCCCTTTTCCCTACGCACCGGAGCAGAAGCCAGCCTGTCGGCACTGGAAGCCTGCACTTAGCTGTGAGGAGCCACAGGCTGTTTCCTGGCAGATCCTGCCTTCACCTCCAATTGCTTGTCCCAATTCTCACGCTACGTAGAACAGGGACGAAGGAAAAAGGAAATTCAGTCGCTGCTTTGCCAGCCTGGCCTCCCTTCCACTTGGTAAGGACGCTAAAGCGGCCCGTAGGATGTCAGCATGAAAACACCAGCGTACCTGTTCCGTGGCAGCAGAGGCGTATGCTGTCGGCACCAAGTGATGCTAAACATGAGGTAGACATTGTGTAAGGGTCGTTATTGTATTGAAAACAAGCTCATTAGGCACGCAGGCCACCGGCAGAACAGAAATGAACATAAATCCACTTCCACCTATTTTTAAGGCAGTATTAAAGACTGCCAAATAGAGGAAGATGCTGGATGTCCTGCAGGATTTCCTTCCCCCGCCCCAACGTTTTACACACGGATTTGGGAGCGAGCGGCTGCGTCACCCAGGCAGTAGCGATGAGAAACTGTGAAGGTCAGGAGTGAGGTGTCTTGTCCAGGTGTCTGCCGCCGCCACGTAGACACAAAGGTACACCCCGCTGCTATTCGTTATCGCGACACCGATCGTAATATTGTATCCTTTGTTGCCAGATGTGCAGCTAGGTTGTCTCGAAAGTCGTGGAGGTAATTGTATTGCTGAAAAAGCACAACCGGATTTGTAATGAGTGCTCTGTACTTTCAGAAGAGGCACTACCAATCTTAAAAAGCTGTGTGATACCCCAGGATAAAAACTGCACCCTCTAGGCCGTGTATTTGTTCTTGGGCTTACTCCAAATCCTCCGGGATTTTTCACTGTCAGACACAGGTAACCTGGAGCTTGGCTTGGATCCTGTGCTTCCTCATTCAAAATGAGATAAAATGGTTGGTCAGCAGAGGCTAAGGGGCAGATCACCCACCCCCAGCGGCGGTGAGGGCTTCTCGTGGGAACATTTGTTCCTGTCTTTCCCCCCTCCTCAACCAGGGATGCGGGCTGCTGCCCACCTGCCCCCGTGGGTTGTGGAAAACCGATTTTCAACACGTAGTTTAAACAAGATTGGCCTTCCAGAGAGGCTTAGAGCTAACAAAGAGTCAGTCTTTAGGCAACTCTCTCCTCGGAAACTACTGTCTTGTAAACCTTTTAAATGTCAGCTCCTCTTTCCTGTACATAGAACTGTTTTAAGAGCGTAACATCTAGGACTCGTATCAACAGAAATATGTACACAGAGTAGCTAAAATCCCACCAAAAGAAGAAAAAACCATTACGTTCAGCAACTTAGGCCTCCCTCCGTGTAGGTTTTAACACTAGTGCTAGGGATGCTTCTTAAATTAAGACTGCCGGTGTATCGGTGTGAGAGCTACCGAGGATGAGCACGGCTAGCTGGGTTAGGAAGGTGGCGCAAAACCAAGGCAGAAAAATCAAGCAGATGTCCGAGTTGTGAGGAGAACGCGAGCAACAGAAAAAGGGACAATAGTTCAGTCAGCGATGAGCAGGGATAAGGAGGAGAAAGCAACGAGTTCCTAATGACGGTGAAGAGCAGGCAGGGCGAACAGCTGTTGAATTCAGCAGAGGCGGAACAAGACAGGATCAGCCTGAGAGCAGAAAGCCAGGAGCAGCTCAAACCCAAGCGAGCAGCGGGGGCTCCAGCTGCGGAGCATCTCAGAAAGCCAGAGGGATCCCTTCGTGAAGCAGAGGACTCCACGAGCTCCCCACTCTTGTTTCGCCACCTGCGTTACAGGTTGTAGCCTCATTACCTTGATGGTCTGTATGGCCCCAGATCCTCTCAAGTTCCTGAGGCTGTCTATCGCTTGCTGAGGTGCCAGTGCATCCGAGAGCTGAAGCAGGAGACACGCAGCGACTGTAAGGGAAAGGTACACATGCACGTATGCCACCGAGCACCTCTGGCTGTACGCGGTACCGCTTTTGCACAGGAATTTTGCTTCATTGCACCAACGAAGTTGGTGAAGGGTCTAGAGCACAAGTCTTATGAGGAGCAGCTGAGGGAGCTGGGGGTGCTCAGCCTGGAGAAGAGGAGGCTGAGGGGAGCCCTCATTGCTCTCTGCAACTGCCTGAAAGGAGGCTGGAGCCGGGGGGGTCGGTCTCTTCTCCCTAGTAACAAGCGATGGGACGAGAGGGAACGGCCTCAAGCTGCGCCAGGGCAGGTTTAGGTTGGGTATTAGGAAAAATTTCTTCACCGAAAGGGCTGTCAGGCCCTGGCCCAGGCTGCCCGGGGCAGGGGCTGAGTCCCCATCCCTGGAGGGATTTAAAAGACAAGTAGACGTGGTGCTCGAGGACATGGGTTAATGGTGGGCTTGGCAGTGCTGGGTTAACGGTTGGACTTTATGATCTTAAGGGTCTCTTCCAACCTTAACGATTCTATGATTCTATGAATAGGTTTGTTCCATGAAAACCATTCTAGCAAAACTCAGCCTCATCATATCGGGGTCGTGGATCTGTTGGATCTTTTGCTGAATATCATTTGTTGGCCCTGGCCCCATCTGCTGCTGCTTCTGCCCAAGCCTGCAGGCTTTGGAAACAGGCAAAACCCCTCCTACCTTCCCCCCCCGCCTTTCTAGCAGCATTTGGGAGGCAAATTCTAAAGTCTTTCCAAGAACAAGTCCCAGTACACCCAGTTCATAGAATCATAGAATCGTCAAGGTTGGAAAAGACCCTTAAGATCATCAAGTCCAACCGTTAATTCCCCTTTGTGTCTTCTGACCGCATCTGCTTTCTTGCCAGTGTCACCACCCCTTCCTGCTGGGGCACACACAATAACTAACGCCCGTGCAAGCTTTAGGGGGAACATCGGGCTGAAGAAAGATGCAGAGGAATAGGTTCCTCTCCTTTTCTTGCGGAGATGTGCAAGGAAGAGGGGAAAGTGCGATCCCATCAGTCAGAGGAGACTAAAATTTGCAGTGAAAACAGAGAAAGAGTGAGAAAGTAAGAGAGCGCTTTCTATCAGCCTCACGGAAAGACTGACCCTGCCTGACCCTCCATCCCCTCACCTGCCTTCTCAGAGCCATCCCATGGCATACTCATGGCACTCCCCACAAACAGGTTCTATACAGGCAGCTAATGTTAGTACCTTTCCCAAGAAACGGGCTCAAAAGCATGAACTAGCCTGCTACCTGCAGCGGCAGTTTGCGCTGTAACCACAGTTAAGCTTCAAGCAGAATTTGGCACCTTTAGACAGTGCTGTCTCACAAGAATGGGTTTGTGAGGCGGGTTAGTCAGGCACTGGGAGGGGGAAGACAACTGCTTACCGAGACATGAGCGTCCAAGGCCACCGTAACAGCTGAAAGAGAAGAAAACGTTTGGTTGTAACAAGCTGTAGTACACTGCAACACCCTGAGCCCCCCGATACGTAAATGTACGGACACAGTTCTTGCCTTAGTATAATCAAGAGGAGCAGTGGTACAAGAAAGTTAGAATTTCTATAGAAATACCTACAGGGCTATCTCCCATTTATCCTTCAGACCTTCCTTGAGTAGTGTCTTTCTAGAGAAACTGCAATTTTAAAGTTCCCCTTCATTCATGGTAACAGTCCCAAAGGCACAGGAGGACAGAAAACAGCATGAAGAGGGACAATCTCAATTTTCTTTAAATCCTACTCCAGATTAAGGCTTTGAAGACAGTTGTGAGCTAACCATCGCAGCAGGGTTCCCAAGGACTCCTTGGATGCCTGCGCAGGCAGCTGTCAGCAGGATCATTCAGGGAACACGGAACTCGGACACCTCTCCCCCTCTACCCTCAGCTCAGCTACAAGTGTCTAAAGAAATTACTTTAAACCAGTTTCATGCAATTTAAGAGTGAATTTTGCACGGCTGGAACCCACTGAGTCCCTGATAAACAGCCCTGGGGTGTGTTATCCTCTGGCAACAGCTGCTTTAGCTTACAACTCGCATTGCATACCCGATATCCAACTAGGCTAGCAGCAAGGAGTCATTCAGCACACGCTTTGAAGCGCTTGCTGGACAGAGCAAGGGGAAATGGGAGATTCAACTCTTACAAAGGACAAGTTAGCTCCAAAAGGGTGCGTGAGAAACAAGCAGCTCTTTACAGCTTGAACTAACGCTAAAGAATGCAATTGTCATTTGACAGGATTCTGTTCAGCTGGTCATGCATCTAGAGAGAAGCTGGTATCTTTTACAGGAACGTGGGGTGACAGGGAGGCAACCAGAACCTACTGTATGATTGTTTTCCGGTTACTTTCCAGGCAGCTTCGGAGCTCTTCCAGAATTTTGCAGCAGTTGGCAATGTCCGGAGCGTCCCCGTCAGGAACAGGATAGTGGTGCACACAGATCCCGTGCTGTTGGTAGGTGTCTATAAGGTTTGGTACTCGGTATTTTAAGAGCTCTCCTCTGGTACAAAGCACAAATATATCCTGGGTCCCATAGGTCTTTAGTTCTTCTGCCAACAGATTAAGACACTTGCAAATAAACAAAAGCTTATCAAGCTTGAGGATAAACAGATAAGCTACTTGGTACTGATTCTCTTGTTTAACCTTTGACGTTAAGACAATAGGAGTTAGCAGTTTTGCTTTGAGCAGCATTTCCTTCTGCTGAGTCTCTCCCACACTTGCCTTCAGGTAACCCACGAGAGGAATTTTCTCAGTTCAGAGTGAGTCTTGAGACAAGCCTCGCTAGAAAGCACGTCAGCACTCAGAACGGTCTGCTAGCTGCTGCCAGCTTCAGCATGACTCTGTCCCTTCCCCAGCTGCGACTGTGTCCAGACACTGTGGGTTTTTGCTATTAGTCTCTGCTCTACTAGAGTTTACAAATGAATATTGGGCACAAATCTTTACAGGATTTCATCTTTTCTATCCCAATCTCACTTTTCTCTGGGAAAAGGAGATCACAAGTTTGTAATTCTTCTTGGTCCTAGCTGTTTTGAAGATGCCTTCTCCTGCATGGGACTTGGCAGAGCTCATAGTTACTGTGAAAGATACGCAGATGCCTGTACAGCTCCAGCCTGGAAACAGCCTGACCGCTTATTCAATATTTGGTAAAGAAGCGACAGAGAAAGTGGCACTGCACGCTTGGCAGTGATATCTAGTACTCATAACGGTGACTGTGCCAAGATATTGGCTGCATCTCCGAGCACAGTGTTAGCAAAACTCAGACAGACATCGCCGTCAGACGTACATACCCCAGCAAGACTCTGTAAAGAACTGCCCTGCCTTCTAACATTACGCCGTGTTAGACAGACAACTGTAGCAGCCATTATAGAAGTACGAATAAAACACCACCACGTCTCAAAGTCAAGCCATGATAAAAGTCAGATACCTGGCGTCTGGATCCTTACGCCCAAATTAGATAAACAGCAACTCCAGCAGCCTAAGACAAGGTAAACCTCCAGCCCCTTAGGCATTTATGCTTTCGGTTTACCTGCACGTTGTTCTTGCCCGTTACGTGGAAGCGAGAGGCACTTATACACTGGCCAGAAGACTCACCTATATCTTTCTGAAGATTTCTTCTAACATCCTTAAACCTGCAACCTAAAACAAATTATGAATGACAATTACCACTCCGGGTAAGTGACATTTATGGAATGTTCTTCAGCTACAGCTGAAGCATAGGGCACAGGCAACCTCCCGCCAAAACCAAGGCAAACAGCAAAGCCACACCCCAACTAAAACACAGTTCTTTCTTATTTTTGCAAATAGATCACTAGCACAGAAGACAGTTTAAACATTATTATCTGCTTAATACTGTAACATAATAGGATAAAAAAAATACATAATAGGATAAAAAAAAACACCTGCTCAAGTTTTTAAGCTGCTATGCATTTTCCAGATGAAAAGTTTCAGATATTGTAAATCAGGGTACAGCTTAAAAAAACAAAACCACAAGAAACCACACAAAACAAGAAACACCAACAAATAAAAGCGCTGGATAGAGATCACTTAAGAGTCGTCTGGTTGACTGGTAGGAAAGTAAGTTCCCTGTTCTGTAATACTCAGCACAAATCACATCAAAAATCCTCCTCACTATTCAATCTACAGCGTATTGCCACTTCCATTTTTTCCTCAGATTGTGATACCAAGGCATTTTTGCAACGCCTACAGAATACTGCACTGCGATATTCACAGCTCTTGTTTGGTTTGTGAGATGTAATTGCTCAAAACATTTGCACTGTGTCCTCCCTCTGTCTCCCCTCCTTCACTCACAGCCCCATAAGCACACAAGCTTTATGCCTGCCCTGACTGTGCATATCTTCAAACACCTTTTGAAAGCAGGACAGCAGAATCCTGCAGACCAAGAGCTGTATCAACAGGGCTACAACTGGAGGTTAGCATCCAAAGACTAAACAGCTGTTACCGGAACAGCTCAGGTAGCTAAAAAACATAACGCAGCTGGGTTTTGGCATGTCTGCTAACTGGTGTTCAAGTGTTAGAGGGATTTTCATCAGCACTGGCCATCACCCCCTTCAAGGTACCTTAAATTCAAATATTACTCAACACTTGTTTCCTAGTTCTTTAGTGTGGTATTAATCCCAAGCTTGGATTTCCCAGAGTTGGCTAATGAAAGTCGAGTAACTGCTTTAAATGAAGTAAGGAAAGTTCACATTGTCACCGCTAGCAGTTCTGTCTCTTTTGTGACCACAGGAGATTCACCATGGCTGCAGTTTTGGTAGTTCAAAATACAGTGAAAGGTTATATGTTTATTTTTCTATCATGGCCATGGTAGTGCAACCCAGACGCTAAAGGAGAGCAGTACAGAACTGTCAGCACAGCGAGTGAGTGTAATTTGAGCCCAGTATATCTTATAAAGGAATTCTTTGTCAAAGCAGTCTTGTTTCACTTACGTTGTTGCTTGTTACAAATAGCCAGTCAGGCTAAAAAGCCAACTATTTTAAATGACCGTGGAAGACCACTCTTCTCTTACCACTCAGCCAGACGATCTTGCATTAAGATATTCTCTCGATTAGTCTTGGTATTTCTGAAACTATTATTCCAGTGGTAGAATACAAAACAAGTCACCCCACCAAGTAAATGGAGCACAGAATTTTGGGGTACAAGATATTACCTCTCTTCAGCTTCAAACCTGCCTGCAAATATCAGTGAATGCTTCTTACCTGGAAGGGAACATAATCCCAGGAACTCAGAAGAGTAGACAGGAGACAAAGGCAACCTATCAGAAAATAACAATATTAAAAAAAATCAGAACATTTTGATTATTTGAGTAGAGATAGCTCACTACAAGACATTCCTTTTCCATGGGACCATGAGAAGAGTTACCTGCCTGTAATTTAATTTTAAGAATAAAATGGAAGCATTCCAGTGTTATTTCTACAACATCAGACAAGGGAATCACATGGTTGGTAGTGTACTTCATCACATACCCCTGCCCAAGAGGATCCCAGGGGATTTGTCAGACAAAATCTACCAAGGCACTCGGGCTAGCATCACTGACAGTGACCACCAAATGCTTCCAAAAGCAGACCTGGCCCCACATCCACTGACAGTTTGCCAGCACCAACTTAATCCCATTTCAGAGGCACCATCAGGTCAACCACAGCCTCAGTCCTCACTCTGGCAGGTCACTGGAGCCCGGCATGGGTTTAGAATCACAGAATCGTTTAGGTTGGAAAAGACCTTAAGACCATCGAGTCCCACTGTTAACCCAGCACTGCCAAGCCCATCACTAAACCATGTCCCTAAGCACCACATCTCCCCGGCTTTTAAATACCCCCAGGGATGGGGACTCAGCCCCTGCCCTGGGCAGCCTGGGCCAGGGCCTGACAGCCCTTTCCGTGAAGAAGGTTTTCCTAATATCCAACCTAAACCTCCCCTGGCGCAGCTTGAGGCCGTTCCCTCTCGTCCCATCGCTTGTTCCTGGGGAGAAGAGACCGACCCCCCCCGGCTCCAGCCTCCTTTCAGGCAGTTGCAGAGAGCGATGAGGGCTCCCCTCAGCCTCCTCTTCTCCAGGCTGAGCACCCCCAGCTC